TACCTAAAAGCCATAAATCGGAGTCGTTTAATGAAATATAGGAAATAATATATCTGTACACTTTTCATTAATTAAGAGGAGTAATTAAGTAAAATATTGCTACGTTTTGTTTCGTTTTTCTATATTTAATCTAAAAAAATGACATGTTATATTCCTTGATCAACATTAAGCTTCTAGGAATAAATCACATTTTGAACAAAAGTGACGTGGTCTCAAATAAACTGAGTATCATAGATTTTCTGCATGGGAAAAAAGGAAAAGTGTTCAAAAATAGCAAATAACAAAGTGGGCATTAACGCTTTGTATSTTTTACTGTATTCAGGTTAAAGAGCAACCACCGCATGCAATGTGAATTGACCAAACATTAAAACTAAAAAAGAAATAAAAAAATCGCTAAAAACTGGCGACATTCACATAATGCTACTTAMGTTTTCTTAATCAAAGCTTTTGTTATTATCGTTTCCTAGCGACGATAAATAACCAATTCGGCGTTTTTTAAGTAAAATTGACCGACTCTGCAGCATGAAATTGTTGAGATTGCGGTAAATGGGAGTGGCCTGAGTGGTTGGCTATAAACCCAACGAATGACAGACTGAATATTGACTATTAGTATTTATATTTATAAATATATTTATTATTATTGTTTATTATATATATGGGATCAGCTACTTCCTCATACGATTAAATATATTTACTATAAATTACATGATAAAATTGATACAAGAATATTGTTTTGCATTTTAGAAAGATGAATAGGAGAGCATGAAGTTACGAAACGTTGTTACTTTTAGTAAGTCGTTTCACCCATTTTTTTACGGTGTTAAATTTATATTTTTACACAACTGTTTCTTTAAAAAYACCAACGCAGCTCGCACTGAGTTTACCGCTAGTTCCCACCATATTGTTATAACGCYGAATTGATACAAAAACTAAATAGCGTTACATAGTTAGAATAAAAAAAWCGTCTTTAAGCTTCCTTTCGCAACGTAAAAAAGATACCTATCTAATAAAAATATTCAGGCAGCAAAAAAGTGTATCCAACGCGTTTAGTGAGATTTTCACACCCTTAACCATAGGCATTTATGATTATTTAGTATCTTTGGAGAGCCGGAGGAAGGGTTTATAGGATGATATATTTGTCTTTATACATCCTGTATGACATCATCCGGCAACAGTATCCCTTTCGAGCTCATGTTTGAAAATCAAAATACATCGTAATATAAGCGAAAACTTACTCTTTATTATCCCTTTATACTATATGAATGGAGATATTGCCAGATTTGACCTGGAAACGGATTGCGAACGGATATTTGAAGTCACCTCATTTTCCATATATGAAAAATCTAAAACACGACCGCATTGAGTGCTGGCGGACCATGTCCCTTTATGATAACGATGTTATCAATTATAATTTTCTTGGTAGTTAAGGTAAGCGTTGTAAGCACATTAAGATAGCATGGATCTTACGTTCCATAATAGTAGTAATTTAAGCCTATTTGTGAAGCAGGTCGATRTCTCTGAACACCAAATTCAAGTAAGAAACTAAGCCGCATGATGACCTGGTAGCCGAGGAGGACGATTTGTAGGCATATTCAGGTTACYGAAGSTTCTATACCAAAATTGAAAACTATGGGTATTCGAGGAGGTCAATTTGTAASCATGTTTGGATCTTGGTCTACATACACACCCATAACGAAAAATTTACAATTATGTTTTATATTTGGATGTTTTGAGAATGGCTCAGATCGTCAAAATATATCTGATGCACACCCTTGGACAATTTTATGACATTCAATGTTCGCCGAGGAGGACGTTTTAGTTTAAGAGRTCTCTAGTTTTATWCACCATCGAACTGAAAACTTACTYTTTAAAAATTGAAAAATTGATGTCTGCCTGCACTCGTATAGCATCAATTCAATGCATAATTTGATCATCGACTCTAATTTGATAGTCAGAACACATTTTGAGTYTTCAGTAGACACCCATAGTCAAACTGAATACACATTGAAGTGTATTTGCACCCGATTCTGTGTTCTATAATATACAAAGAAGGCCTTGCAAAAAGACTATAGCATTGGGACTTTATTGATAACATTTCATAGTGTGATTTAAAGGTCACAAACACGTGCTATGGAAGCTTTGATCATGTTCCTACGGTTGGAGAATTCTCACGGTGTGTCAGTTAGCTTGGTCAAATTCTCAGGCGATTGGGGATGGACAGTAATTAGAGTCAAGCGAGCCAATTCCAATGCTATTCATTGCTTTAACAAGCGCAATGACTCCCACGTGTCTTGTGTATGTAATTCTGATAGGCTAAGAGCATAACCACTTGGTTCCTTATYAACCCTATCCAGTACATGTAGATTGGTACCGGAGAATTATTGAATAACATAATCTGACATCTTGAGATCTCTACATTATGCAAGCAAGAAGATTGACTTTACCTCTATGGAATCCTTAAGCAAAAAGGAAATGCAAAAAGGATCTTTTTTTGTTTTCTGTTTTCAATCAGTACACGAATTATTAGAACTTGATRATAATACACATGTGGTGCTATGCATAGCGTTATTTTTGTAATGTGGAATTATTCATTGGTTTTTAAATGTTAGTAAAACAAGCTAAAATGACTCTGAACGTGGCCATCGTATGGTCTTAAACAATGGTTATAACAATAGGCCCAATATGAGCTCTCACTGGAGTTCTCACACACCATACTTGTACCAGTAGCATTTATTATACTTTAAAAATCATTTTGTTTGGTTTAAATCCCCACCATCCCAAGCTCTTTTTAAATCACATAAAGGGACCTTCATGATGTTCTTGCTAAGGAGGAGCTCTTAGGGACTTCCAAATAAGGTCTGATGAATCACAGATTCAATCCCCTAGAGCCCACATAGTACATGTAGTTTGTTAATGTTCAAATAAWTGATTTCAGACTGTAAGCCTGTATCGATTTACGCTGTCATGATATAGGTATATTGATGAGTCAAGACACATGTGAATACTTCATTACTGTTAACTCATAGAACGTCACTAGCTCAGCAACAAAAACACGCCATAGATTAAAAAAACCAACTGTATAAAACAAGAGCAAGAGCGGCTTTCAGGCTCTTATCACCACGTTTATTGACAGTGGCCAAAATGTTAGGGCGTGTTACCCCACGACTAGATTTCCCCCTTGATCAAAGCGCTTCCCCCCTCGTATTTCACCTCCAATTCAAGCTCGCTTAAACAATGATAAATAGAAAAAAAGCCCAGGGCATCTTTACTGCAGTTTAGTCGCAAGTCACCAAAACACSATAAAGACTCAGTGAAGCATGTGAACGAAACATCGCTTCACCATACGTGTCCTACATCTGCACGTGGTAACGATTGTAACCCTATTATTTATGCTTAGGTTACCTAAGAAATGAGCAGATTGGGCCTTCTTTATTAATTGATAGGCATTGTTAGGTCTCCTTAGGCAAGCCTCAAGTGACATTGTTAGAGTCTGTTGTTCAAAGCAGGGAGGAAAACGACTCAGATGGTGAAACGTGCGATGACAATTGTCCTCGCCCTCCCTAGAGTCTGTTTTTGTGTGCGATTGTATGAATATCGTTTAGTAGATTTATGCATTACAAAAATATCAGTGATTATAAACTGTAGCCGTGTACGTGTATCTTTTGTTAGAGGCAAACAATGGGCCATGGAACATGTTGTGTTGGCGACTTGGAATCAAGCACAGACTATCATCAGCCAGCCGACACTCGATCCCTCTATCCTTGAACTTTATGTGAATTCTYCAWGCTTTGGTCAAAATTCAAAGCCCTGCACAACCTTGGATTTCTTATTTAGGGAGATATTTTTCACTTTAGAACAAATTTAGGTCTATAAGCTTGAATGTAGTTCAAGTCGGACGGAGTCAGCAGTTAAATTCGGTGCCTAGATTGTCAATCTCATTTCGCCTAGTTTTGTAATTATAATGAGGCAGTTAATCTCACCCACGGTATTGAATCTTGTATGAATAGTATTATGAGTACAGGTACATAACAACTAGCTAAATACCAGTTCAAACGCCGTATGAATGAATCTAAAACAACCAACGCGTGCTGCAGTGACCGACCAGCCTCACATTTGTGGCGATCAAAAACAACGAGCATCCAAATGAACCAAAATGCAAATGAGATCACATTAATTCGAGGTGTTCAAAGCATCTCACTAAGTTTTGTTCCGAGCTCTTAACTTCAAAACGTGGTTCAAAGTAAAACTTACAAATAACAAAATCCATTATTTAAGCACTTTAAGTTTAAAAGTCTTCAAGCAAAAACTGTTATTCTACATCACGCATGCGCAGAGGAAATAAAGTTGACTCGTGTTATCTAATCCTTTCACATTTGATACACGAAAGAAGAGAGTTTTAGCTTTTTAACGATGTGTTCATTGAGAATGGGTGCAAAGCTTGTACTGGGTTTTAAACTTCAAAGCATGCCGTCTTGTTTCAACCCTTATTATTTGTACGARGCCCGGGTTGTTCTTGAAATGCTTCAAAAAGTACAAATTCGACAAAGAGTAATTGAAATCTGTAGCAATGAAGCCCTAATTCACAAAAGCGTCTTAATCAATATGTGTTGTAACACATTGTCAWTGCTGCAAGATTCAAATCAATAAGAATTTCTTCATCAAAATATTTTTTAAGGAGTTCATGGAAAMATTTGAGGAAATAACCCTCCCCTATTTAAGATAAATTTGACAAGATYTTGTGAAGTTAATAATAGATTGCGTCCAATGTGGCTTGGTTAAATGCATTCAAATCACTACAGGTATGTTTATTAATAAAAACAAACCCAACAAACTAATTTCATTCTTCACGCTATGTTCATGTCTTGTGTAGGAAAGACTCAATGTGTTTTTTGTTCCGATGGAAAATCTTCTCTATTGTATGCTAGGTAAGGTGTTCACGTGACCTAGTGATATAAATGTCAATCGCGTTGCCTTGCTCATTTCCAACTAAGTCAGCGAAGACGAAGCATTCTCCAAAAAGGTGAGTAAAAAGTCCCTATGGTATTATTAGCTGAAGTAATTAGCACTTCAACGACATTCAACTTAGGAATAGAACATGTTATTAGCAGCCTTAATAAAATGTCTAATGTAGGTTTCACGCGAAAATTTACACATTTTGCAAATTTACATCATTCAAAAAGTCAACCTGCAAGGGTTAATTACTRAAATATTTAGAAACAGCGTCACTAGAACTAGTACCTGTTGATGTCATCGAGTAATTTTAGTGTTTATACAAAGTTTATAAATCGTTTTAAACTGAGTAGGGATTGTCACTGAGTAGAACGAGATTTTTCCTTCAATTAAGATAYGTTTTTTTAGTAAGATGTTTAATCACTGTTTCTATCATAGGTTCTGATATGGACGCRACGTTTGAACATGATCGTGGCTGTTACGCCGAGCCAAATTTCTCTTTTGAGGACACTTTTTGCCGGGAGATTACATCTTGTCTTGAATACGAACAAGACGCAAATGCTAATCTATGTCATAAAGTACAAGAAAACATCCTTAGGATTAGTGATGGAAATGTTAGCCTGCAGAGAATAGGCGAGGCTCTTACCCAGGCAAGTACCACCAGTACCAAGCAATGCCGAATACACGAGTTACAGACCATGAAACGTGGAAGTATGCAAGCAACCAAAGATAACAGCTCGTTTGATGATAAAGTGGTACAAAATCTCACAGAAATGTTTTCCTATGAAGATGGTGATTGCGATGATGTTGGTTCTTGTGAGCAATCCTCTGATAGCACGTGGGCTACCGTTGACGATGTAAACAATGGCATCGGCTGTCCACGTGTTCGTATAGAACCCATGAAAAGAATTCGTCGTCTTCGCGCCAACGATCGAGAAAGAAGGCGTATGCGATCTCTAAACCGAGCATTGGATAGTCTCAAGAAGTGCATCCCAGTCCCCCCAAGCAAGCGCCGAGTCACAAAGCTGGAGGTTTTACGAATCGCGTGTAGTTACATCAGGTCACTGTCGGACACGCTTCGGGGAGAATCCACTGGAGTCAGCGGAGCGTTTAGAAAGCGAAATCGACCAGAAACTGTAGTCAATGGCTTCTCAGTGGCTCAAAGACTTGAAATATTATCCACTTCCAAGTGACATTTGAATGAAATTTTTTACTCAAATTGTTTCATATTGAAATGGAGTTAAAAACTGTTTTTTTTTTTCTTGTACAATAGTGTAACATAGCGGCAGTTAAGGCGTCTATATTATGTACATAGTTCTGCTCAATAAATTTATTGAAATTTGGACTTRCAGACTGGTAAGTGTGTCTTCTGTTTCAAGTCTTCTGTTTGAAACACTTAGCATTGAGAGCACCATAATAAATCAATGCTACTTGAAACACGCTACAAGTCATATTTATACTAGGTTGTCTTTTTTACACCTTTTCAATTTTTAATTACATCTGATACAATACTTCGTGGTTTAGCTCTATGTTAGCATAATGACCACCTAGAATGTTTGACTTATGCTGGTTATAATGGTTTGCTCTATTCCTTACAAAATATAATGCCGCGAAGTGGCCAAGGTATTTTTTGAAATTGTTGAAAAAATTTAAACAAGTGGAATACCAACACGTTTTTTAAAACGTTTTCTTAAGAGTTTATGAAATGATACAATAAATCGAGCTTTCTTTGATGAATTGGATACTTTTAAATGTGCTTTAATCGACTTTTGTTTGGGATACTTCAGCAATTCAACCAAAAACACACACACACAAACAAAACCGCTCATTGACAGAAGCTTCAAAAGGCAAAAACTCAACTCAAAACGTCAAATCTGACAGGTTTCAAAATTCTTCTTTGTAAAAGTGTGTTATAAACYGTTTCCTTTGTTGTTTTTGCGGGGTATTTCCCCATAAGTTCAGAATATTAAACCCTCATGCTTCGGCTAGGACGCCAAAACGGCTTAAACACAAAACAACTGCGCAACAGGGGAACAGTAGAGACGCGAATTTAACCGTTGGTGTCCTATCGCTTGCCTAGAAAATTCTTCTCTGAATAAATTGACCTGTTAATTAAATCATATGTGTCGTGATTGTGAATAAGGATTATTAGGACATTGTACGTTCTATAAAGAACTTTGTTTATTTCTCAAGGGCCTAAAGTGGACACTATTCGACTGATAAACGTAGTATATTCCTACTTGACGTAATGGGATAGGCATGGATATTAACGACATCGAATGTTCAAAAACTAAAAAMTACTACGCAGAAACAGTAGCAAACGCTACCAAAGGGAATTTCTGTGGAAGTTTTGAGCGAGAAACAAATAAAAGGTAGTTTTCTTTTGCTTTTAATCGAAAAAGGTTTCGAAATTACTTTTCGCTTAAAGTACGATTTGTTTTTGTTCGAACGTAACTGTGATTGTTGTGTTACGTTCAGTAATGTGTAAAAACTATTTAAAAACTAATTACAGAATATATTTTCTTTAGTTCTACGAGTAGTTTGCTCACATTTTAATAACCTTTAATCTACAGGAAGATCGGCGTAATTAAATCACAGTTAATTAGCTAAATTAGGAAGTAAAGTTGTCATTAAATAAAACAGCGAAGTCAAAGACAACTTTCTTGAATTGCTAAAATGTTGCAAAGCTATATTTCATTTAAAACGCGTGAAAATGTACTTAAGACCTATTAAAGATACTTTAAGAACGATATTTCCGGCCTTTTAATGAACGCTAATTTGTTGTGTTCCTCATTGTTTGGCACCTGCTAATCAATTCTTCGCACAAGCAAAACTTTCTGTGGTTCACTGTTGGACGAATGTGCTCTTTATTCTCATMAAAAAAAACCCTTTACAAACAGAATTAAAAATATTGTGCTTATGAAGCGAAACATTATCCTAAATCAAAWCCCTAAGTTATAAATCGCTTTATAYGTTTATTTTAATCCAACAGTTTTGTATTATAATGTTGGATTATAAGGAAGTCGTAGTATTTGTCAGCAAACCGGCAAACAGTTCATTAATATGARCTATCAATAGCAAGTTTTCCAGCGCTTGTTTTCTGACTACGTAGGCTTTCTTTGGCCCACTAAAGGCTACACAGTCACTACAAAAAAACTAAATTGTTCTCTTTTTTTCATTGATAATCCCCAGTGGGTATTCTTAACTGTCTTTCTTGATTTTATCATTCATTTTATAACATGACAAAAGCTTGAATGTTTGAAAAACCAATTCAATTGTTGTCTAAGACACAAAGTACATAGTCAGAAATCAGCCTTGCGGCTTTTTGTTATATACTTATAATAAAAAAAATGTCTATAGAATCTTCGATAAATCAAATTACATTATAGCTTGTCTTTCTCTTGGATTTTTTAATAAAAACTWTCAGTGAAAAGATGAAATCATGCAAGAATGGAAGTAAGTTACTGCAAATACGTGTGAATTKTTGAAAATAAATGTGTGATTTTAAATTAATTAAGATCGAAGGTTTCCTACTTTGACGTGTATATTAAAGTACAATTGTGCAGTCCTTCGTTATACTTCTCAAGGAAACGTCTGCTAGGCTTATGTTTGTTTTAAAGGATAAAACTCGATTTTTTAACTTTGGTACTGTGAGTTCTGAACGGCTAATGTTACCTAAGTCTGCAATTTCAYAACTATATCTCATGCTTACAATGATTTTACGCCAAGCTTTTCAAAAATTGTCGGAATTGAGGGAGTGAAAACATATGGACCAAGCAAAATTAACAAGAGCAACAACGCTAAGACAAATGAGAGGGGGGGAAAGAAAGAAAAAATGAAACCGCACATACTACCAAAACTGAAGAAGAACGATGAAGGCCTGAAGAAATCACCAAAGGRGAAAATAGAATAACAGAGCGAAAAATAAAAAAAGAATATTGAGACAAAAAGAACTGAAGAAAGTAACGGAAAGAGAAGATACCCAGAATAAACAAAGAGAAATAAAATGAAAATAAAAACGAAATGAAGATGAAAGAAGCCAAAAATGATAGCAAAAGAATGAAAACTAAAATGAGATGTCAAGACAAAGAAAGAAGAAAAATACCAAGAAGAATATAGCTCAAAATACTAGGTTTATTRGTCGTGGCAGACATAATTGTTAAAACTGAAGGAGCCCTACCTCCATAGAGAACAGAATTAGCCCTGGGGGTACTGATTTTATCTTAACATTGAACTATTCATATAGACATGATGACTATATGGGTTTTTGTTTCTAACGACATGATTCTAATCTAAYGAGGTTACAAGTGCTTGTAAAGTACACATAGTTGAAGAGATAGCACTTTGAAAACCTAGATATTATCTTGATATCAGACTATTAAAGCGCGGGGCCTATCAACGCACCATCACGCAGATCAGACATGCCGTCTAATGCGGKCCGTACAGCTATTGAGAGACTCAATCTTTATACAAACGGTTGTAGTAAAATGATTAAATTATTCAATGTTGAAAGAATATAGAAAAGGACGTATTTGTGCATTGATCACAGCTGGTTTTCTTTTTTCTTTTTTTCTTTTTCTTTTTCTTTTTGAGTAATAAATGGATAATGATCAGCTAATAGGGGATGTCGTACAACAAAGAATGACGGGAGTTGTAGTCGTCGTTCGAAATCAGAATGTTTCTGGTCTGGCTGTGTCCATGCAGAATCCTGAATTCCCGTAGTCTAAAAATTCGCCATTTCTCATTTCTAAATCTAGTTATTTGAAGCTAGGAAAGGTTTAATGAAAAATACATACCCATGAATATATAAGAGTGCATCCAGAAAATKTTCAGTACTTTTGCACAAACAAAGAGGTCTTATTATATATAATAAATAGAACACTACATGGTCGCTTGGAAATACTAGTTTGCTACGCTMACTCGTGAGATATCGATTGAACACTCGAAGATAAAATTAGTATTTCCGCGCGCCCATGTATAATATCCTCGATTTACCCTACAATAAGCTAATATGCTATTTCATAACAAAAACTAGCGGATATTGGTTGTAAATAATATTTTCTGCTTTGTATGTGGATGTACGCTGCATCAATGGACACACCCTTAAAGGGACACTGTCAATGGATGACATGCGCAGTAACAGTCTCGCCTCTAACGAACTTTGAAAGTATTACCTTTGAGGTAAATCATTTTGTGGTGCTTTTGACACACTTTGGAATATTCTAGATCTGTTTACGTTTACGAGCTGATTTATGTCGCGCCAACTTGGAGTCATAAACTTGAAAACATTAGCCTAATGTTTTCAAGTTTACTCGCGCATGCGTGCCATTGACAGTGTCCCTTAAATCTGCCCCAGTAACTTTTGATTGGGCTTGGAGACCAAAACTACCATCAGATAGATATTTATACAGCGGATAAAATCAATACAAACCCTAAATCCAAAGACCGGATAMTACTTTTGATTTTTGCATGTGTTTAAAATGAGTGCAACATCGAGTACGACCTCTTTGAGAAGATATCGATTTCATAATTTTAGAGATATTTTCAAATTTATTAGATTTGGTGCCCGCTAAAACTAGAAATGAGATACTCAATGTAGGTTTATATGAAAAGTTGACGGTTTGGATAGCAATTTTAATGATTTTGTACTATAGTCCTGGGTCAAACGCCGAGTCTAATTTTTGCTGTTGCTAAACTCAAATTTCTGTGTCGCTTTGTACTAATTTGCATCTAACTGACACTTTTTCTTTCACTACATTACAACCTTTCCAGTTTGCAAACACAGTCTTTTCCTTGAATCATCATTTAGCACTAAATATTTTGCCCTCAAAGACTCTCAAAGCTTGATTATGGCAAAGAAATTTGTGCAGAATTTAACTAGTTCGACAAATTAAGTTCGGAGTTTGACCTGGCCGTAGGGCTTCTAGTATTATCTTACCTTACTCCATAGGTTCATACTTTAGCTTCTTCATTTCTCACTGTTCTTATAGAGATGTCGACAG